GACTCCATGTTTCAGAAGGCTTGATTTATTATTTAATGATATATATTATATTAAAACTATACTAAAAGAATAGAAGAAAAGGTTTCATCAGAAGACTAGCTAAGCTAAGAATAGAAAGGAATGATAACAAAGGTTTGTGGCTCAGACAGAGAGTCTGAGCCAGCTGACTGTGATTGGCCATTAATTAGAAACAACCAACATGAGACCAATCCCAGATGCACCTGTTGCATTCCACAGCAGCAGATAATCATTGCTTACATTTTGTTCCCGAGGCCTCTCAGCTTCTCAGGAGGAAAACTCCTAAAGAAAGGATTTTTTATGAAAATATGTCTGCAACACCACCCTTTGTACTTGCCACTGATAATTGGAACCCCTGTTTTTGGAGGTACCATTTGTGTGTCTCCTAAGAAGATTTTATTGACTTTTTCTATCCCCACCTTGTCACCCAGTACAGCTTCCACTGCTTTCAAACACTTGCCTCTCCTCAAACCCCTGCTCAGAGCAAGAGACCCAACCACACACTCATTCCCTGAGCAGAACCCTCAGCCCTCTCCTCACTTTTCCCCCTGGTTCCAGGATGGAAAAGCCCAGCAGGCTGAGCACAAGCAGCCCCTCAGGTTAGAGCTATTTCCATTTCCAGCAGTATTTCCTCAGGCATTAGCAGCCAGCTCCCTTGGCTGCTCCAGGACGTGGGAATATTTGTTATGGAAATTTTGCGCAGCATCACCACGGGGGCAGATTCAGCCTACACAGGTCCTCAGTTAAACTCAGCAGCTGGCACAGAGCACGTTCTCCTAGAACTAAATTTGACCAGCAGAGTTCAACAGGCCACTAAACAGACTTTGAAGGCCTCCAAGCAAGATGCCTTTCCATTTCCAGGCACTGAACAAAGCATCAGGCTTAGCTAGCCAGTGACCACAGCCACAAGTCAATATCCAGATGGGCATCCAGAGGGACATTTTTCACTGAGAACACTTTTCCTCCCCCTCATTTCTTAATGCTCCTCTAGAAAAATTGACTTGCACACTGCAGGAAATCTCTCTCTCAATGCAAATCCATTGCATTTGCTTATTTAAAACAAATACTGGGGTATTTCTAAAGTAATGCTGGAGAATTACTGAACAATTAAAATTGGCACTTCAGCCATACAAAGGTGTTCTCTAGGGAGCTGCTCATTGCCATGGGGAGGGAGAAGAGAGCTGGACCAATTTGGAGATGAGGCATAAAGCTCAGTCAGGCTTGATCTGCACACCCTGACTGGAGCCAGCACATCCTCTGCTCAGTATGTCCAACCCAACAGCACCTTCAAGAACTTGGGTATCCATCTCCCACATCTTTTGATGCTTTAACTCTGCTTTGTTCTCCTCCCTGTGATGGTTCCTTACAGGAACAGCTCCTATGACCTGCTACAGCAGTGGTGTATTTGCAGAATTTCACAGAATCATCACAGAATGGTTTGGGTTGGAATGGACATTAAAAATATCACCTAACTCCAAACCCCCTGCTGTCACAGACATCTTTTATGAAAAATCCTTTCCTTAGGATTTTTCCTCTTGAGAAGCTGAGAGGCCTCAGGAACAACATGTAAACAATGGTTATCTGCTGCTGAGGAATGCAACAGGTAAATCTGTGATTGGCCCATGTTGGTTGTTTTTAATTAATGGCCAATCACAGTCAGCTGGCTTGGACTCTCTGTCCAATACAGAGCCTTTTTTATCATTCTTTTTTTTTCTATTCCTAGCTAGCCTGCTGATGAAATCCTTTCTTCTATTCTTTTAGTATAGTTCTAATGTAATATATATCATAAAATAATAAATCAGCCTTCTGAAACATGGAGTCAGATCCTCATCTCCTCCCTCAACCTGAGACCCCTGTGAAACACCATCACACCCTGCCATGGGAGTTCCTCAGGGTCCCATCCAACCTGGCCTCCAACACCTCCAGGGGTAGGAGTTTGTTTAGCTCTGAGTAGGTGTGAGGCAACCCTCACTCCCCAAAGCCTACCTGTGCCAAGAACACACTTCCCCATCTTTGATCCTGAGGCATCCTGAGAAGAGACAGCACTTTCCAAAATGCCGTTTCCTGTCCTTAGAGACAGTTCAGAGAGTAATCAGGAGCTTTTGGGCAAAAGATGGGAGGAAAATGAGCAAACAGGAGCCTTTGATTCCTCACTAGCTATAAAACAGGCCATTCCTGGCTGCAATTTGGCCATGAGCTCAGGCACAAGAGAGGCTGATCTCAGAATGCCTGTTCCTGGCTTTTTGGAAATATGGAAATAATTGATTTTTCTAAACAATTCTGGACAGCTGGATGCTTAAAATAGCAGCATAGATTTAGGTGCTTCCCCTCCCCTTTACTTTACTTTACTTCCCCATTAATGCAGCTCTTGCAGCTGCACAAGGGGAGCCAGCCAGGGCTGTGGAGGCAGGAGAAGCAACCAGAGAGCAGCAGGAACTGCTGCAGCCCACACCAAAGGACAGCTGCAGTGCTTTGCATCAGCTGCAGGGCTGCTGGAAGGACACAGCTGTGACAGATTTATTTTTTTCCCCCTCCAAATTGATGCAGAATATGGGTACAGGCTCTACTGGACAACCCTGCTGTTCTGATGGCTGCAGCAATGGCACTGACTGCTGTTTGCTGTTTGCAACATGGATTTTGTGCTCCCCTGGCTTTCTCCTCTGCAGGACTTATGTTGCTTCCCTCAATTCTCCTGAGGAGCAGAAGTCTGGTACAGCAATTATCCCAGCAAATGAATCATGTTCCTGGAGCCTGCATCAAACTGTACAAAGTTTACAAGCGTCTTCCCAACTGTTTTGGAAGTTACTTAACAGCAGAGATGAGGGCAGGAGTGTTTTCCTTCCCCAGCCCTGCCACAAGATTGCCTTGGACATGTCACTTGGCTGTCCCACCTGTATTTTCCACTGGGGCCACTCTGGCCAGAGACCTGCACCAAAAACTGCACTTGATGGATGAGATATTTAACCCCCAATCCAAGAACCAAATTCAAGCAACAGCACAAACTTGTTTTTCACTAATGAAAGCAAGATTTTCTCTAAGGACTGAGCTGTTTCTGTGGTCTAAGCCAGCCCTAGTGAGGGGCCAGCTACAGCTCAACAGAAGTTCATCCCTGCTCTGCCAAGACACTTTTCATGTCTTTTGCTTCTGCTCTGCAGACGTGGCACATGAAGCTGAAGCTGTGTCTGAGGTGCTTGGGCTTCCAGTTCTTGTTGCTCCAAAGGGGAAAAACTCCAGTTCCTGAATTAAGAATATCTAGATAATATATAACATATAACATATAACATATAACATATAATATATAATATATAATATATAATATATAATATATAATATATGTTGGGATTTATAAAATTAGAGGGTTTTGAGAAAGTGGTTAAAAAGGCAGGCAAAATATAATATATATTATATAATATATAATATATATTATATATTATATAATATATAATATTATATCATATATGTCACATATTATATCACATATATCAAACATATTTTATGATATATTATATTATATTATGTTTATTATATTATATTCTTCTGTCTCATCTAAGTTTAGGGATCCATTATAACGGAGGAGCTAAAAGGGAAAATACAGAAGGTATTGCCCCCACCCAGTGCCTGCTGTCAGGATGCTCAAACTGCTCTGGAGATCAGCCTTGAAAGCCCCTCTCAGGCTTGAGGAGAGCCAGCCCGGCCCAAATCATCCCACTCCCAGTCTGCAGCTGTTTTGCTGCCTCACAAACCCAGCCAGGCCCTTCACCCTCTGCCATGGCCCATCTGCAGAGCCTGAGGAAATTCACAGGGCACTGGGGTCCCCAGACTGATCCCAGCTGGGTCCAAGTTTCACCAGCTCAAATACCAGACCAGCTACTAAAAACACAAAAAAAACCCCAGACGAGCTTCAGAACAGACTTCATGATTAACATCTTAATGGCAAGACTGCAATTTTTATGAATAAGATGTATTTTCTGAAATAGGACAGAATTGATCTGTACATCAGATGTAATGTAAAATAGGCAGAGCATTAATTTTTCCTTTTCCTGCAAGCTGGCTCTGCTCTTTTGGAAGGGAACTGCTACCCTCTAGTGGGGCTGGCTGAGAGCAGCTTTTTGGAAATGTTTTCTCCATCTCAAGGCAGGAATTTAAAGAGAAAGAGGCAACACTTGAAAACTCAACTTTTAGGGTCACACTGTGCCTGGCTGATCCCCACCACAGCTCAAGGCAAATGCAAGAACAACTCCATATTCTGAACGGAGATGGTAGGTAAAAACCCACAGAAGAAGCCTAGAAAGAACTTTACACACCATAATTTACCACAAGGATGTCCTGGGTTATATTTTACACCCAAGGAAATGTTCAGCTTCCTGAACACGGTTTTCCTCACCACACTTCTGCACTCCAGGGTGGTTCCAGCATTTAACTCACCCTCAGGGGCTCCCTGAGGAAGGGATAACCCTGCTCCCATTTCCAGGGTGGTTTTAGCATTTAACTCACCCTCAGGAGCCCCCTGAAGAAGGGATAACACTGCTCCCATTCCAGCTCCCATTTCCAGGGTGGTTTTAGCATTTAACTCACCCTCAGGGGCTCCCTGAGGAAGGGATAACCCTGCTCCCATTTCCAGGGTGGTTCCAGCATTTAACTCACCCTCAGGGGCTCCCTGAGGAAGGGATAACCCTGCTCCCATTTCCAGGGTGGTTCCAGCATTTAACTCACCCTCAGGGGCTCCCTGAGGAAGGGATAACCCTGCTCCCATTTCCAGGGTGGTTCCAGCATTTAACTCACCCTCAGGGGCTCCCTGAGGAAGGGATAACCCTGCTCCCATTTCCAGGGTGGTTCCAGCATTTAACTCACCCTCAGGGGCTCCCTGAGGAAGGGAGAACACTGCTCCCATTCCAGCCCCAGACTGCAGCTCCTGCCATTTCTGCCCCCATTCCCAGCTGTGAGCACACCAAGCCCCTGTGGGCACAGCAGGTGACACCTACCATACTCCCCAAAGACCAGGTATGTGTATTTCTTGTGCTGAACAATCCAGGAGACAACTTTCACACCCAGCCAGATCAGCAGCATCCCCAGCGTGGCATCCAGGATGAAATTAATAAGGTAGCTAAGAGCAGAGAAAAATTCAGGTTTCAGCTTCTGTGTTCTTAAGTATTATTCAAAAATCTTTAATGTCATAATGGAAACGAATTTAAAAGCCCCAAGATTTTAAATAAGCCTGTTTAACAATCCAAACTCGCTTCCTTTCTCTTTTATTGCATTTTCCTAAGCCTTACCAGCAATTTCTTAGTTTAAAAACTTGTTTAGAAGAGAAGGGACAGGCTCCACCAACTCTCTGGCACTGCTTATTTATTCATATAGCAATAAATACTTCTTAAAAGTTACCCCCTGCAAAAAGGAGATTTTCCACTTGCAGCGTTTTTTTTTACATTAAAAACAAAAAAGAAATCTGAAGTTTCAGAGGAAACAGAACCAAACTGTTCCCAGAATTTCACACAAGAAAATGGCAGCTGTTTGGGCACCACAGCTGCTCTACAAACTGGCAGCAAAAGAGGCACAAAGTCTATTTTTCTGAGCAGCTGCAAGAGGCTCCCAAAAGCAGAGACACAGACTAAAAAGGCAGGTTTTGGGAGAGGTGATGGGCCCTGGCTCAGCAGCAAGAGTCCTGAGGTCCCAAAACCTTTAAGTTCAGGTTCTACTGCAGATCCAGGAGCTGAATCCATCCCTGCCAGGAGATTTTGGCTCAATGGGTTTGAGTTCTGCAGCTCTGGATGCTAAAGTGTCCCTGGGCAGAGTGCCAGAGGCAGGAGAGCTGCAGGGACCTTCTGGGGATTGCAGGGTCCAAGCTCCAATCCAGGGCTTGGTATTTTAATGAACTCCAAAAAGAAAAAAAAAAAAAAATCACATAGACTAATGTGGTTTTTTATGCAGTTTTCCATTATTGCAATATTTCTGCCAGATTTCTACAGGATGAAGAAAATGCCAAGCACAAGGCTAAGCAGTGAACATTTCCTTTTCCAGAACTCTGCCTCTGAACCAAGAAATTGCAAACAACAATCTGCTTTTGATATCCACACTTTGAAAGCATAACATTAAGTTTTTCTACATACAAAAACTCAAGACTGGCTTTTTACAGCTTCCAGCTGCTGGAAAATCAGAGCATTCCATGCAGACATGGAGCTCTGCTGGTTTATTCTGGGCAGGACACAGGGACAGGGCTGGAGGGTTTTGAGCTGCCTGCTTCAGGATGACAACTCGGGCAGTGCAGGGAAACATAAAACACACATGAAAAATAAACAACACACCCAAAGGGCACAGCGTAAGCATGAGAGGGTTTATTTAAAACACTGTCTGTTTAAAAAGAAACAACAATACATCATTTGAGAGGTTATGTGCAGCCCTAGCCAAACTTGTGTCTGCTTAAAGAAACATATTGAGGTGCAGATTATATAAAAAAAATAAAAATTATAAATGTAATATTTTTAATATAAAAAGGAGATGGGCCAGAAGGTTTTAAGGAGCATTTTGAAGCCTAAAAGTGTTTCTAAAAATGAGATGAGGTTAATGCTGAAACTAAATTTTTATCTGCAAAGTGTCTGAAGTAAATGTAGAAGTCCCACCTTTACTTCAGACACTTTGCAAATAAAAATTTAGTTTCAGCATTTTAGAAAATTTTAGTTTCTGGAGTTTGGGTTAGAAATCTCCCAAACAGAACCAGCAAAGAAGACAACAGAGAGCACAAAAACAAGCTCAGCAGGGTTTATCCCCATGCAGTGCTTCAGATGGATCCATTTCCAGTGCTCATGACCCTTCCCAACACAATTCTCCCTTTGACAGATGTAGGTATGAAGGCAAGTGCCTTGTGTACTTACAGAGAGCAAGGGTCCTCCTCAGTGAGATCAGACAGAAAAACATTGGCAAAGTGGATGAAGAGGGCACCTATGGCTTGCTTGGAGGTATCATAGAACCTGGAGGAAAAACCAAGATTTTCTGAAGGAGTTATGCAGGGAATTTTATTTCTAGGGAACACCAGCTACTTTATGGCGGTTTCCTTGGGAAGCAGCAGCACATTTCATTCAACAATTAAATGTCATACAGAATACACAGGGGGCATAGAAGATTGTTAGTATAAGAGAAAAAAAAATATTAGAAACACAGTTTTTTCAAGTTTAAAATAAAAAAAAAATCTCACCATATCCTCCAGGGACGCCGCTCTGCCTTTGGCTCCTTGAATCGTTTCACTGCAAAGAGAATCAGAGAGGTTCCATTACCCAGGTGAACCCTCCATGTGTGCAGCCTGCACCCACCTGCACTGCAAAAGCAGCCCAAAAACCCTGCAGGACTGTGGCATTTTCTGGGGTTCTTCGTGGCAGGAAGGAATGAATCTGACACCATGTTCTTAGAGGGCATATATTACATTACATTACATTACATTACACTACATTACATTATAGTTATAATAGTATATAAAATATTACAATATTATTTTATTATATTATAATATTATATTATGATATACTATATTATGATATTATATCATTCTATAATATTATAGCATAATACTATATTATTATATTACATTATTACATTACATTGTGATATTATATCATTACCATATCATATTATACAGAAAGGATACTTACAGAAGGCCAAAAGATAATAATGAAAACTCGTGACTCCTTCCAGAGTCCTGACACAGCTTGGCCCTGATTGGTCATTAAGTTAAAACAATTCACATGAAACCAATCAAACAACCACCTGTTGGAAAAACAATCTCCAACCTCATTCCAAAGCAGCAAAACACAGGAGAAGCAAATGAGATAATATTGTTTTCCTTTTTCTCTGAGATTTCTCAGCTTCCCAGGAGAAGAATCCTGGGCAAAGAGGATTTTTCAGAAAGTATGACAGTGACACAGGACCCTGAGCATTTGTAAATTTAAAGCTAAGCAAAGCCAAGGGACCTCCCCAGGGCAGTGGTGGCATAGCTGTCCCTGGAAGTGTCCAGAACACAGAGATGTTGTGTTTAGGGTTAGGGGTGGGCTTGGCAGTGCTGGGTTAATGGTTGGACTTGGTGATCCTGGATGGCTTTTCCAGCCAGAATGATTCCATGATTTTGTTCTCTGGCCTGGAGTAAAGCAACCAGCGTTGTCACTGTCATATTTTCTGGAAAATCCCTTTGCCAGGATTTCGTCTCCTGGGAAGATAGAAGCCTCAGAAAAAAAATGAAAACAATGTTATCTCATTTGCTTCTCCTGTGTCTTGCTCATGTGGAATGTGTTTGGAGATTGTTTACCCACAGGTGATTGTTTCATTGGATTCTGCTGTGAGTTGTTTTGACTCATTGGCCAATCAGGGCCAAGCTGTGTTCGGACTCTGGAAAGAGTCACGAGTTTTCATTATTATCTTTTTAGCCTTCTGTAAGTATCCCTTCTGTATTCTTTAGTGCAGCATTCTTTAATATAATATAATATCATAAAATAATAAAATAGCCTTCTGAGAACATGGAGTCACATTCATCATTCCTCTCTACCACGAGGGTCCCCACAAATACAATACCCCCAAAGGGCAGCCTGGGCTTCTTCCCCTGGGAAATGCCTTCCTGATCCAACATGAAAGGATGCAGGGACTTCCCTGACAGGAGCCTTGACATTTCACAAGTGCAGCTTTGTCCTGCTTTTTCTGGCAAGGTGACAGAGCAACAGATGAAAATGCAAGGGCGAAAGGACAACGAGGAACTTTTTACAACTAAAAGAAGAGATATTTAGGTGGGAGATTAGGGAGAAATTCTTTATTGTGAGGATGGGGAGGCACTGGCACAGGGTGCCCAGAGAAGCTGTGGCTGCTCCACCTCTGGAAGTGTCCAAGGCCAGGTTGGACAGGGCTTGGAGCCACGTGGGACACTGGGAGTTGTCCCTGCCCATGGCAGGGGGTGGAACAAGACAGTCTGTAAGGTCCCTTCCACCCCGAACCATTCCCCAATCCTGGGATCTCCCCTAATCCTAGGATTTAGTCAGGCACATGCAGGGATTTGCTGCTAGTCTCAAATCCACAGAAAACCAGCACTGCTAAACCCTGATTTATTATTGCCAGTGATGAGTAACAAGGCACCAGTCAAGTCACTCAGACCCTGCTGCAGCAGCTTGTCCTACCGCTGTCCAGAAAAAACCCACCAGCTGAAGCCCACCATGAGCCATTCCTGCAGCCATGATCAGCTCAGACAAGATCCATCACCACTGATGCCCTTCAAAAGCCAATTTTCATTTCACCTACCCACAAGCATCAGAGCCATGGACCAAAGGGGCCAGAATTGTTTAAAGAAACCCTGAGCTGATGGGGGCAGAGAGCACAATGCTGAAAAAAAGCTTTTGGAAGGATCTTCAGGCCAGCCAGCTGACCACTAGCCCAACCACAGGAGCACCAGGGGTGATTTTCATGATTTTCTTAATGAGAAGTGACATGTTATGTATCCACAGCCACTCAGGCTAGAAACACAGTAATTCAGTGTGATAAGATGACAAGTAAGAGGTAAGAAGTTAATGGTGTGGTGCCTTGTTGAACACAGCTTGTCATGCCTCATTAGATTTAAGAGAGTTATCTGAGACTGTGTAATTATCAGAGACAGTAAAACTGTTGTATTAAAGATAAAAGCTGGTATTATAGAGAAATAATTAACTGCTTAATAGGGCATTTACTGTGCAGAGCTGCAGCAGGCTGGCTCCAAATTAAACCAGAAATCCAGCCAAGATTACCAGAGCTTAAACAGGGAGCTGAGTTGTTTGGTAGCTGTGGCCTGGGGTTAGGGGGGGATGTTAAATCCACAGGAGCAGCACCACATCTCTGAAGACTCCAGGAGATGATGGAGCCCTCCATGAAGCAGCACTCTGTGCTCAGTGAGCACAGCAGGGCTCTGGAGAATGAGCAGCAACAGCAAAGCTTCCCTCCCCTCTTCAGAATGCTGCAGAGAGACAAGCCATGCCATGCACAGGCACAGGCTCAGCAGGATCAGCTGGAGAAAGGCTGAAATCTCCTCTGTTCTTCTCAAAATGTGTTTCCAATCACTCAGTTTTCCACCAGCTGTAGGTGGGTTTGCTACCCTGGCTCAGACAGACCAGTCCATGCTTAATATTTAAGAGAAGTTATGCATGCATCGAGGACAAAAAAAAGTTATATTTGAGTTTTAGCACCTATGACCAAGTGAAACTCCATAAAAACACCTGAAACAAATTAAAAATGCAGTTTACTGCACACACAGTTGCACAAAATGGAAGAGAACCCAAATTTAATTAGATTGAACATGAGACTGGAATGCAGCTTCTCTATGTCAGAAGGCATCAGGATTTTGTGTCCCCAACCACAGTACTGAATATTTTCATGCTGCTTCCCTTCTCAGCTGTGTCCATGTGCAAGGAAGCAATGTTATTGCACATCTTGGGAAGAAATTCTTCCCTGTGAGGGTGGTGAGGCCCTGGATCCCTGGAAGTGCCCAAGGCCAGGCAGGACGGGGCTTGGAACAACCTGGGATAGTGGGAGGTGTCCCTGCCCATGGCAGGAGGTGGCACTGGATCCATCACTGGATCCAATCTGTGCTCACCATTCTGTGACTGAGTGTAGGGGGATAGAATATAAGAAAATAAAGCTAGTATAGAAAGTAATCTTACCCCTAAAGAGTTGCAGCTGGGCTAATTATTAAAGATTATGAACAGACCTGACTTTAACAGGCCACAGCTGTAGCCAATGAGAAGAAGAGTGTTATAAAAGAGTGGGTTGGGTAGTTGAGGGGAACTGGAGTCAGTTGGCTGCTGTGAGAGGAAGGAAGAGTCAGTGCTTGGAGGAGCTGTCTATGAGAAACATCAAGGAGGTATGAAACTCTTGCACTAAGGAAACAACAATGTGAAACCTTTGCAATGTAATGACAACAACTGAGATTCTGTAGGAGCCAGAGGAAGGGCACCCAGGTCTATCCCATTAAACATGAGCAGAGCACCCCTGGGATGGGGCCTTCAGCAGGCTCTGCCCTCACAAGCCCCCACTCCACCCCTGCAGACAAAAAGCTGTGAGGCTGAACCAGAAGGGAAGGAAGATGAGGGACAATCTGAGAGATCCCCTGACCACAGAACAGAGAGGGGAGGGCAGGAAATAAAACACTTCCCAGCCCTTCCTCTTCAGCCAAGGACAATAAAGATCATACATGCTTGAAATCCCCTCAGAACCACCAGGCTGGGTAGAAGCTGACAACTGAGTGAGAACATGTGAAAAGTTAAAAGAAAAAAAAAATGGCTGGAGTCTTTCAATATAGATCTGGAAATAGTCAGAAAGCTAAAAGATAAAAGCACAATGACAGCTGTCCTCACTCTTTTTCCCGTGTAATACAGAGGTTAATATTCATTATGTTGTTTGTTCTCTTGATGCAGCAGAAAGGGGCCAGACAGTCTTTGCTGCCCTACACAAAGACAAATGCTGTGAAATTACCAGAGCTTGTCACAGTCAATGTCCCACAGCCTACTTCTGCTTTTAAACAAATTCTCTGATTCTAAAAATTTATTAAGACAGGGACAGTAGCAACAGCAGCCCTTTCCCTCATGCTGTTCTTCCCTGCATCCCCGTTGACCCCACGCTGCATTCAGGCAGATCTGCTGCAGATTTGTGCAGCATCACAGGTATAAATTCCCTAATTTAATCAGAATTAGCTGCAGCATCAACCAGCTGCTGATCAGCAAAACAAGCTATCAAGTCAGGTTTCTGTGGGGGTATCAGTCGTTGGTTTTTCTGGGTCTGGACTGAAGGCACTTGAGATGGCAGTTCATGTTCAGACTCAGGTGTTTATTATTTCTTATCAGTAAAACAGTCTCACTACTGTGAGTTCTGCAGCTTTTCATTAGAAGGCACAAAATGGCCAACAATCTCTTGTTCCAAGGGCTTTTAAGACTGAACTATCCAGTTAAGAAATGACACCTGGATTATTTTCCCTTTTAACCCAATAACTGATCTCACAGAGCTGCAATGGGGACTTTTCTGCCCAATTACAAAACACCACCCAAACCCATGGAGAAGGAGGAAGAAGAAGCATGAAGAAGCAACCCAGGATGACACCCTGTGCCCTCCATCTTGCTCCCATCCACAGCATAATAAAAACCCCAAAACTTCAATTTCTCACTAAGTGATACACCTACACAACTGTCTATAATCTATTTCACACTTTTGTGGATTCAAGTCTATCTCGAAGTCCAGGAAACTTTCTCCA